AGGCAAGAACGGTCTTTAACAAAATGAGCGCCATCTTCAAAAGTCACAACATATCCCTTGATACAAAAATGAGACATTTGAGATGCTATGTTTTCTCTGTGTTGTTGTACGGGGCGGAGGCATGGACGCTTACAGACGCCACTATTAAAAAACTTGAAGCATTTGAGATGTGGCTTTATAGAAGAATGCTGAGAATATCATGGACAGCAAGGATCACGAACAAGGAAGTTCTAGGAAAAATGAAGAAGGAACCAGAGATTATGTTTACGATCAAACGCATAAAATTGCAATATCTGGGACACGTTATGAGAAATGAGCACCGTTACTCCCTGCTACAGTCTATATTGCAAGGTAAAGTCAAAGGTAGGCGAGGACCCGGTAGAAGGAGAATATCATGGCTGCGGAATTTAAGAACATGGTTTAAGAAAACCTCAACGGAGCTAATTTGAGCCGCAGCGAGCAAGGTTATGATTGCCAATATGATTTCCAACATCCGAAACGGATAGGAACTAGAAGAAGAAGAAGAATGCTTCTTTCCAAATACTTAATACAGTACTTTTATTTACAGTACCTGCAGAACTTATTTTTACATCATATCTTCTAGAATTTGACCAAACATTCTCAATTGGGATAAACTGGCAATTATATGGAGTCAATCTCAATATTCTATGACCATGTTGAAGTGCCAGTACATCTAATCTGTAGGACAAAATAAATATAATCTCATTTATTAAATATCTTTTAATACATACTTTATACTAAAAAATACTAGAAACTTTATCTGGTAAATGTTTTTTTAACATCTCCAATAATTCAAGTTTCATCATGGTTGTTGAAACACGTATATGTCTTCCTTTTAACCATTCTACTAAAGAGTGTTTAGTCCAACTTGAATTTAGTAGTTTTTCACTAAACTGGAGTAGTAAGGTGCATTGTCCATAATTATTTACGACGGTTCTTCTAAATTTGTGCAAAATTTGATATTTAAACCATTTTTCAAAATTTTCTGCACTCGTCGAATCATAATAATCTCCAGTTTTTTTCCACGTTTGAAAATTAGACTGCAATTATTAATGAATCCATTTTTACAACCTGCATGGAGTACAATATATCGTATACCTTATCCGGTCCTCTTTCTAACAGCATTAATGCTGCCATCCTTCCAACTCTAGCAAAATCCTCCCTTGCTATATATCCAGGTCTCATTCAAGAAAACTGGTTGTAACGGGTGTAATCATGTTGATTTTTTTATATTCTTTTAAAAATTGTAATCTTTTATATGCCACATAATATGTGATTGTTCCGTTAGATATTTTCGATTTGACATATTGCAGTTTAACTTTCTGAATTTCATACTTATCTTTTAAAATCCTACTCAGTGAACAAGAAAAAATGTAAAGATGCTAATGATATTTTGGTAGGTTATGGTAAACTATATTTTGATACTAACCTTCATTAAACATTCTGTATAGACGAGTTCTAATAACATGTTAATATTTATTGGTTCATGAAGGCCTAGATTATCACATACTGAAGGACTAATTGCAACAGAATAGCTAGCGTCTGTTTGAATTCCTTTATTTGCCAATCGTCTTACCGTTGGTAACGAAACTCCTAACGCCTCGGCAATACGCTAAAATGTATAGTATTTAAACTACTATTTTAGTAGTTTTTAGAATAATTAGATATTTTTTAGAATAATTTAAAACTTACTTTGCGAACGGCAGAAACTGTGGAACTTTATTAGTTATTTTACTCCCTAAAGTATATCCTGTGGGTATATCTCGGCATAATCAAAATATCTTTATGACAATAAATACACAATTACATTTTCACTGTAAAATGGCTGAAAATACTAACCTGGAATGGCAAGTATTATTTTATCAGTTGACATTGCGAAAGTACTGTCATGATCGAGACCATCTGCGTCAAATTATATTTATGCGCATGATTATTGGATATCTATTTAGCGTATTCTAAACTCCAACGAATTATACATCCTAAGTAGAATTCGCTTTAATAAGCAAATACCCGTGAACGATACATAATTTTTTAATTTCTATGAACAATAATTACAGACTTATGTTTTTTTCTGTCACATCTAGCTTAATGCGTTAGAGAGAATTCGATCAAGACGCACTGAAAGAAGGCTTTCAGACGGACTATACATAATTACCTACATTATGCTTTGAAATAAAAAACGTTAAATGTATCTGTCAAAATATTTAATAAAATAAATAGTATCTACTTGTTCTTCTACAAATCACCAAAATGATTTTTAAAAAGAATAAATTTTATACATTTATATGGAAGAAATGTTAACTCGAAATTTAAATATTTTTTTTTGGAAAATATTCTATTTTCTGACGAATCGGTAATGGGTTCGTTAAGAGACAATTATCAGTATTACTCCGATAAAAATCTTTATCTATTTTGAGTTACTTCTCACGACATTCGGTCGTTGAATGTTTGGGGAAATTTTGTTGGATCGTTTGTTATTGAACCTTACTTCTTCGACCAAACCAGTTGTTAGTAATGAGTATCATACATTTTTAACAGATGAGTTACTTGGCTTGTTAGGGAATGGTACCTTGGGAATAAGACGAAACATTTAATTTTAACATGACGGAGCACCACCACATCTTCATACGTTAAGCGTGTGCTAAATATTATCTACAGCGATAGTTGGATTGGCACACCACTGGACTTTTTTATGAAGGTACATCAAGAATATAGCATGCAACGACCAACTTACAAGACAGGATAATAATGAAAATTCGTATACAAAATGACTTTAGTCAACGTTGAAACTAAAATGCTACAAAAGATATTCAATCGTCTATACGACTGGGTTTTAAACATAATGGGATGAATCAGTTTCCACCTCCATCGCATCGTAAGCTGGGTACTAGGATGTATACCATTTAGATTTAAAGGTTTAAAAATTAACCAAAGCATCTCTGTCATGGGGCCAAATGACGAATGTATCGTCAACATATCGTATCCAACATGTGGGTTGTTTCAGCATTGATGTGGATAGTGCTTGGGTCTTGAAATCTTCAATAAAGATATTGACAGTTACTCGAGATAATACGGACACCATTTATTTGTCTATAGAATTGATTTTGAATTAAATACTACCTAGGTAACAATTTTAACACTAGAAAAACTTATTTAGACTACTTACCTATGGTTTGACTACAGTTTTGTACGAGTGCAGTTTTGAACAAAAAAATATAACACGAAATGTCGTAAATTTATTAAGTTTAAAAGTACAAGTTAAACCAAGTAAAATAAGTCAAATAAGTAAAAACAAATAGACAAGATAAAAAAAGCTTGTCAAAAAGTCTTAATAAGTTGTAACAATAAATAATACTTCTCTTACAATTTTTTTATATAAAGTTTTAGAATAAATGTCGCATTTACTAGAATGACACTTTAATTTGCACTTATAATGTCATATTTTTCTTATTTACTAAAATTTACACGGTATAACTATCTTCTGGTCAGCTTATAAATATTTTACATCCATCCTTAGCGGATATAACCATAGACATATATACAAATATACTGACGAATCAGTCAAAAACTGAGAAATCTGACGAATTGTAATCACTGCATCTCCTAATTTGCCGGATTTATTGATCACATGACCTAAATGACCAATGAGAAGTTCACGTTATCGACAAACCCGGCCCAGTCTATTTGTATTATTTGTCTATGGATATAGCCTAAAGTTCTCCTTTTACCATTAGTGAATACAAATAAATACATAATCAATTCTAAAAAGGAATCTGCTACGGAATTTGACTTAATTTCATACTATATCATTAAAAATTTACCTCATTCAGGATCAGTACTATTGTTACAAATTTTTAACAAATGCTTAAGTACAGAGACCATCCTGATTGAATGGAAACAGTCATTAATAATTCCAATTCTAAAACCTATGAAAGATAAACTCACTGCAAGTAACTATCAGCCTATTGCCCTCACTTCTTGTGTAGGTAGAGTTTTAGAATCAAAGATCAAAAATAGGTTGGAATGGCTTATAGAAAATATGGGCATCCTTAGATCATTGCAGCTAGGTTTAAGAAGGGGTAAAGGATGTTTAGAATGTCTATCCTTTTTGACATCTGAAATCCAAAAATCATTTAGTAATAATGAATCTACTAATCATCTAATACATCTAATGCATATCCATTCAGCATATGATAATGTGAGTATTGACAAACTGTACTCTACATTAATACATTTGGATATACCACATGATTTAGCTAACCTCATATAACTTTTTTAAATGCAGAGAACCGTTTGTTAAATATAACTCTGGGTTAGTACATGGCCCAAATACCACTAATACTGGACTCACACAAGGATCACCATTAGGTCCAATGTTCTTCTTCTTCAGCCTTCATTTATCCAATGTTGGACATAGGCCTCCTCCAATTGCTTCCATGCTTCCCTATCTTTTGCAATTCTCATCCACTGCTTTCCAGCTACAGCAGTTATATCGTCTATCCATCTCTTTTTAGGTCTTCCCATGCTTCTTTTTGTTTCTCGAGGTCTCCAGAATGTCACTTTATGAGACCATCTGTTGGTGTCTTGTCTTGCTACATGTGCTACCCATTGCCATCTCAATGTCGCTATTTTTCCCATGATGTCGGTTACTTTAGTTCTTCGACGTATTTCGGTGTTAGGAATTTTGTCTTTGAGGCTTATATTTAACATGGCCCTCTCCATGGTCCGTTGAGTTACTCTTAATTGTTCTGCCATTTTTCTTGTTATTGCCATAGTTTCCAATCCATAAGTTGCAACTGGTAGTATACAAGGGTCATAGGTTTTTCGTTTTAAGTGAATTGGGATTTTTCTGTCTTTTAAAATGAAGCTCAACTTACCAAAAGCAGCCCATGATAATTGTGTCCTTCTTTTAATTTCTAGGGTTTGATTTTTCTTTTCGTTTTTAATTGCATGTCCTAGATATATATATATATATATATATAATATATATATATATATATATATATATATATATATATATATATATATATTGATAAAGTTGTATTTTATTAATTTTATTTTTTTTTATAATAAATGTAATTTTTATAATATGTGGTTCGTTGTTTAATTTAATATACCTCGGCTAGCTCAATTATATGTTCTAAGCAATCTGTCACTGTGTGACGTCGACTCTGTAGTCTCCTGGTAGAGTTCAAAAAAAAAATTAAACCAAAATTTACTTTAGACCTTTGATAAATTAACCCAAATGAAGCACGTTATTTATTAATATTGAACAAATTTAATATAAACAATAAAATTCGTCTGCAACTTCGGTTGCCTTTAAAAATTTACAAAAATAGGAATCGTTTAAGTCTTAACGTGGTTTAGTGACGTGACAATAAAAATGTATTACAAAATGTGGAGACTCTCTACAAGTACCTAAAAACTAAATAAATATTGCAACTTTATAAAGTGTTTAAATGAACTATAAAGAAAAAGAAAATGAACACTTTATTCCGCTGATACTCAAATATAATCAAAATTTCAAATGATCCCCAAAATTATTGTCCAACCTCACTTTAAAACAGTTCTGATTTCTTTAAAGGAAACTAACTACTCAAAAATAATCGGTGAAACTGGAATATCAATCCTCTCTTCGGAAGTTAAGGTACGTACTATTCTATTTTTAATTTAATGATCATTAATAATTTCAATTTTTAAGGCCTATCGCAATTATGTTAATTCATGAATTTTAATTTTCTCAATTTAAATGACATTTCTATACTCCAATATAATTTATAAGTGAAATTGTTTCTCTTACTCTCTGGAACAAATTTCTGGATATCTCTGCTGTGGAAACTGTGGAAAAACTAAATTCTAATTAGACGAGTTAAAAAACACTCCCGACCTATTCCACAGTTTCAGGGCTCTCCTTCGTCCAAAAAAACCTCGTCGGCGTCCTTTCCAAAAACCAATTCCCATTATTATCCGTTGCTAACAGCAACCAACGTTCTTTTTTTTTCTGTCTTTATTTAAATATTTTAAACCATAAAACTGTCCTGTTTGACATATTTGTCAAGCCACATTACTTTCTCATAATCACTTTAATCACATATAATTTGGGAATTTACAAAAAAAAATGTTTAGATATAAAACTTATTCTATTACAATACTAATTTATTCTTTTCATCTCCACATCATTGTAATTTCTTATTTAACAAAACCCCTATTAATTTAGCTCCCACAGACTGTCAAATAAACTGTCAAGCAGTTTATTTTCTGACGTTTATTAAAATTTCTATGTTTAAATATTTTTTTAAAATTCTTCTTTTTTTTTTCTTTTTAAGGTTTAGACGATTCACCTATACACTAGGCAACTATACTATTCAGAAATTATTAACACTATACCAGGTAAGTCAAAATTAATTTATTTAACAATTTACTAATCTTTTTCTCTCTTTTATTTCAGAGTCGAACCCACATTGTGATGGCTTCATGAAATTCATAAACAACAAACTCATATAAAAATCCATTAAAGTTGTATATATTTTAACATATTGAAATCATTTCAATATATATATATATATATAATATATATATATATATATATATATATATATTGTTCTACCTTTTCTATATTGATGTTATCTATCGTGATGTTTTCTAGGCTGTTGCTTAATGTCTTTGTTTTGTCGAGATTCATTTTTAATCCTATTTGATTCGATTTGTGATTTAAATCTTGTAGCATTGATTTTAGTTCATGGATATCTGTGCTTATTAGTAGTATGTCATCTGAAAAACGCAAATGATATTCTCCATCTATTTTTAATCCATTTTCGGCCCAATTTAGTTGTTTGAAAACATTTTCTAATGCCAAAGTAAATAACTTGGGTGAGATGGTGTCGCCCTGTCTCACACCTTTGCCAAGGTCTATTTTCATAGTTTCCAGATCATCATCTATTTTTACGTGAAAAGTAGCATCATCGTATATATTCTTAATGTTATATGATATATATGATATATATTCCTACTCATTACACAATGTGTTCCCAAAAATGCTAAAGTCATACAGTATGCTGACGATTTTGTAATTTTAATCAATTGAGTAAACGTTAAAAATACGATATCAAAAATAAACAAATATTTAGCCATTCTTGCTAAACAAAAATAATGCCCGTAAATATCAGTTATAAGAGACAACATATAAAGTGGGTAGATAAAATGTAATACCTAGGAATGGTTTTACAGAAGAACCTTAAATGGAAGGCACACATTAATGAGTTGGACGTCAATATAGGTAAAGCACTGAATGTAATGCGTGCCTTGTGTGGAACATGGTGGAGTAGTGACCTAAAAATAATAAAACTTATCCATGAAGCACCTATCCTAAGTCATTTGAACTATGGGGGTCAGTTCCCATCTACATACCCTAAATATATATTGAAGAAACTAGATCATTATCAAAGTATCCGATTTATCACAGGATGCAACGTACGATTAACGAAAAAGGTTGTTTGAAAGAAGTCGGGAATTTGGAGTTCCTAGAAAATGTTAAAGTATTTACGACTTGGAAAGTAGAAGACGTTGAAATGAAGAAAGAGGTATATTTGTTTTTACCAATGAAAAGGAAGGAACGTTATTGATATAAGGGGGTGTTAAGCCAAGAGAGTTTTTGAAATTAAAGAAAACGACAGTGAGTGTAGAGACAGTTGATTCCCGATAGCTGAAAGGAGCAGTTGGTGTTTAAGAAAACAAAAGTAAAAAAAGTGTCGGTTTTCGTTAACCATAAGCCTTGTAGGCATCCGTAAAAGTAATAAGTACAAAGTAATATATTTTGAAAAGTTAAAATTAAATTCAGTGATAAGTGATAGTAAACGTCGTAAGTAAAAATTGTTCCAAGGTATTCAGATATACCTCTATATTTCTTTCGAACAGAATTCTCCGTTGCGAGGACTTCTGTTTTATCGACGCATAAATACTTCAGTGTATTTTGACAGGAACCTTTTACATAAACAATTTCGTAAAATTTTTAAATTATTTCTTGCAACCATAATTCATTATTGTATTCTACTCTGGGAAACTTTCTATTTTAAAATAACTTGCGGTACATTTTTTATATGCCTTTTTATATTTTCTGACTCTTTTCATAGATTGTTTGTTTTTTGCAATTTATGCTGTCATTCAAATTTGTGTTTATTTCTTTGGTAGAAACATTTTTTTTAATATACGGTTATATTTTATTTTTTAATTTTAATTATCCATAGCTTCCTCTGAGTATTGGTTTTGCATTTCTGTGATTGAATGATGTAAAACCCTGAGATTATTTACCAATTTGAGCTAGACCAAAAATTTTTTTTTTGTTAAATTAATTAATAATTCAAAATAAATATAAGTATATTTTTTTATAAACAAATACATAAAGAAGTAGAAACAAAGCAATATATTCATGTTTTTCAACTATATAAACAACAATTGTTACGTTTACAAAATAAAAAATATAAATACTGACACGTATTCTTACGTCATTCTAAATATTGTTAGTCTGTATTTTGTAGAAAGTTTAAGAGGTTGTAAAGAGATTTTTTTGTTTCCGGACTGTTTTAGTTCTTCAATTTTGTCATACCGTTTTTTAATTCCATTATACTCACATAATTCTATTTTGTAATTGTTAGTAAAAATTGCCAATGTTTCTTTTACCTCTAAACGCATTTTTTTGTCAAAAACAATAATTACTAGTAGTAACTCATTAACGTACGAAGTTAGCCAGAACATCATTTGGCCTGCTTGTGTTTCTATTTCAAAGTTTAACTCTTTACCACATGTCAGTTTTATTCCGTCTTTGGGCCAATTTTCTTGAAATTTTTCTTTAGTACCAGAAAAATGATCCATTCCTTGAATCAAAGTAGGAAATGTATATAATCTGTTTAAACAAACCTGTTTATGTGAAAGGAAATTCCAACAATCGATTTTTTCTGTACAGTCTGGCCAATCGCATGACAACTTTATATTTTCAAGTAGTATTTCGAGAGATGTGAACACAACTTTATCACTTGTACATCTAACACAATAATCTGAGCAGTTACTGCAGTATATATGGCTGTAGTCACAAATATAAATGTGATATTTGTCATTTATGATGATGTTGCAATTTGAACATTTAAAATTGACTTTCATAAATACGTTCAGAAGACGTTTTATTACTGATTCTGCTTTTTCTTTCTGCATAGATATATTATTTTCTGTTATATCTTCTATAATTCCAGAGTTCTCAAATTTAAAAACAAGTTTGTATGAAAAATCTGTTGAAAGTGAGGAACTATAACTTTTAGTAGGTCCCTTTTGAGCAAGTGTTACAAACTTTTTGTAATGATTTTCATTTCCTTTTTTGCGCATTAAATCTAGTGAATAGTTACTTGGGAAACAAGCAAACTTTTCATCAACTTCTAAAATCGTGTCTCTTCCAACAGTTTTAAAATGGATAAATAACATTTCATGTAAATAATCTGTTATCCAATATACACTGAGGCACATTCCAATTATTATTTTTGAACCAAATAACAACTGAGTGGTAGAATGCCAATGGTCTCTAAGTTGCTTTTTATTTCCCTTAAAATCACATCCTACTTCTGGGCAAGAGTATTCTCTATTACAACATATTTGTTTGTGTAAAGGAAAATCTAAACATTTGATTTGTTTATTGCAGTTTTTCCAATCACAGGGCAATTTGAAATTTCCAAGTAAGTTTTCCATATCAATCCAAAAACAATCATTCTCACAAATAGCACAATAAACATCTATACAATCAGTGCAAGTAACGTGGCTTTGAGGGCATAATAACAGACGCGTCTTTAAGCTGATCATGTTGTTGCAGTGACAACATGTAATTTCTGACCTCAAAAATAAGTTTACAAAATACTTAAAAATTTTTATATATGGATCGTCCATTGGTTTTATGAAATTAGTAGATTCCTTTACCTCATCGTTACAATAAATTTTTATTGCTCCAAACAATACAGATGTAGAAAGTAATTGTTGTAATTGATATAAATTTATTATTGTGGTTTGTGACGTTGTGTTTACATCAATAACTTTTGAAATGTACTCGATATCCGAAGAAGGATGAAACAATATTATTGTATACTTCTTAATTGGATTGTATCTAGTAAGTTGTTTGAATGATAGTTTTAAATTATCATTTAGAACAGAAATTGATATTTTTATGAGTTGATGGTCTGTATAAAATAAAATTTTACTTGTTTTTAAATGAAATACCCCATCACAAATTACATTGGCAGGATGCTTTTGTTTATAATGTTGAATCAACTGACAAGCATTTCCCTTAAAGAAGCATTTTAAACATTGATATATTTTCTTAAAAGTACATAAAGTTTCATGGTTTTCGACATTTTCAGAAAAAGGAAAAATCTCTGTACATCCTTCATAATGATTAACACAGTGGAAATAATAGTTTTTAGCAATTTTATTATAAGCGGATAACTGCCGGAAATCATATCTACTTTTTTGAAAATCTGCACATTTTTCTCGACCACAAACAATAAACGGACATTTATTAGATATTGTTACCGGTCCTACTGAAAGATATTTTAAACAATAACCACATACTTGATTGTTTAGAATTCTTTTTGGTATAACCATATTATTCCCAGTGTATATCATCTAAAAAATAGTCAAAATTAGATTTTCTTAATAACTAGATAAGTAATAACTATCTAAGAAAATACAGAAGTAGCTGTGTTCTAAGAATATCTATCTTAGTAGTATTGGTGTATCGAAGATGAAATTGTACAGAACATGAATGTTAAGTACAGCTTATTTCAAATCGATTGGCCAGCCCTTCTACGAAATAGTCAATCGCGCAGACAATAAAATATCTATGATCAGACCCATGCAGTGGCGTTGCAATATTAAACAAATTATGTTATTTAAAATCGCACTAATTATAAAATTATTACTCACTTAAATATTAAATGGAGAGTGATTGTACACTTATTATTTTATAGATACCAAACTTTTTGTTCATTATAATTGATACTCTATAAAGTTTGTTAAAATTTAATTTCTAATTTAGTATCAGTTAGTTTAAAATCGTAATTAAAAAGGCATTATTAATGACTTTATAATAATAATATTTTATAATAACGACTCGTTAAGGACATACAAAGAGTTGATAAGAATTATTTCCGATAATTTCTAGTTACTGGATTTTAAACGAGTTTGTAATTTAGTCTCATTATGTTGTCGAGTCTCAACAAGAAAGGTGCTACTACGCGTATTAGAACTACTTTGTAGAATAGAGATAGTATTAAAAAACGTGCGAGTGAAGCTACTGGAGTATCTTTACGTAGAGTAGAAAGGATCATTCAACAAGCGAGTAGGTTTACAAACGCAAAGTCAAATAATAAACTAAAATTTCCAGCTACAACACTTGCTAAAAGGAAAGCAACCGTGACAGACTTGAGGGAGTATGACAAACAGTTCATTAGAAATACTATTCATTATTTACATAAGAGTGAACGTTGTCGTGTATCATTAAATCTTTTGTAGAAAAGGCTCTAAGAGATGTACGAGTGGACTGGAAGTGTGAGTTCTCTCTACAGAATTGTAAAAGATTTGAGATTTAAATGAAAGAAGATGAAAGATAATCGACGTTTATTAATTGAACGGAATAATATTTGTACTCTACTCATTAAATATTTGAAAAAAAAAAAAATTAAATATTACAGAAGCGAAGGTAAGTAAATTGTACATGTTGATGAAACCTATGTACATGCAGGACACACTTCGCCAAATAGCTGGACAGATGACAGTGGCAACGAATTGTTCAAAAACATTTCAAAAGGAAGTAGATTGGTTATCGTACATGATGGTGGGGAGATGGGTTTCATACAAAATGCCCTTTTGATTTTTAAGTCAGGAGCTATGAAAGGAGATTATCATAATCATATAAATTCAGCAAATTATGAAAAATGGCCGAATGAACATTTAATCCCCAATTTGTCTGTTGGATCTATTGTTGTTACTGATAATGCTTCATATCATAATGTACAAATTAATAAAGCACCCGCCAGTAATTCTAAAAAAGTGGATATGATATCTTGGTTGACAGAAAAAAATTGGTCGAAAGAAAAATAATCAGGTGACACCTGGGAAATGTGAAACAATGATTTTATAAGCTCATACATGGGCTCTTACAGCCAGTTTAATCCGCCACATTAGATGTGTTACATGAAGAGTATTAAATCCTTACATAGATTATTTTATTAATAAATTCTAAATATTAGATAATACGGTGTTAAAAACCGATATAAATATAATTAATTACCTTTAAATCAGAATCAGCATCCACAAGTAAATGTTTTTGTTTAAAAGAAAATATGGCTTCATCCAATAATTTGTTTGTTGTAGAAATTTCTTGAATTTGATTGTTCTGTACATTATTTGTAAATTGTTTAGCTAAACCTCTATCACTGTTGGAGACTTCTATTTGCTTTTTAATACTTTTATTCATTCTTATAGTACTTTGTAACGTTGCATTGGATGGTTCTTCATTAGAAAATGACTCTAAAATATGTAAATATATAAAAGATACCAATTACTTAGGGACTACAAGATTGTTAGGAATACCTAACAGTATTGTGTTAGCAAACAGTGGAATATTCACACATCAAAATAATCTAAGGGGCACCGATATTATATAGCTTTAACTCAATGTTAGCTGCAAATACAAAAATAAATTTATGTTTTTAATTTTTTTTTTATTTTGTCGATTATTGTACCAACTTGGACGGCAATGCTGGTAGGAATGGCTATAAAAAATTTAACAAACCTTCAATATGCGTTTTTTGTCCATACGATAAGAAGTTCTTCTTCTTCTTAAGGTGCCGTGCATGTATCTTTTTCCTCGTAATATGTGCAGCAAGTATGCAGTCTTCTTACTTTTTACATATTCCATGATATTCTAAGCATTCTACGCAGGAACCACATTTCAAACACTTCAAGTTTGTTAATGGAACTGGCCTTTAACGTTTATGCTTCCATTCCGTACAAGAGACGAGGTTACACGTAACACTTAAGCATCTTGTATCGGAAGTTGAAGTCCAATTTACGATCAGTAAGAAACTTACGAAGCCTCAAAAAAGCATTTCCGGCTTGTTCAACTCTGCTCTTTATATTTCATTCTCGGGGTCCCAACACTCGTTCAGCAAACAACCCAAGTATTTAAATTGCCTGACCTGTTCGATTTCTTTTCCATAGGCATATATCTTTGCGATGGGGTAATCATTTCTACTTATAATCATTGTTTTCGTCTTCTTGATATTTATTTTCCAACCTCGAGCTTCACTTGCAAAAGTTCATTTAAAAGGCATTGAAGATATTCGATGTTATCTGCCACTATGGCTGTATCATCGGCATACCTGATGTTATTAATAAATATGCCGTTAACTATAATACCCTTATTAGAGTCTGCCACTGCTTCTGCGAAAGATTTAACAAAATTATGCTAATGACTCATTGATAACCAGTAAACGACTTCACAGAAAATTAGGTAAAAACTGCATTAATGGTCATATTTTAAAATACATTAAAATAACATTAGGGTAGGTAGAAATTTGTTACAATATTGCAGTTGAATTGATTCTTTGCCAGTGTTGACATTGTATGTTTGGTAGAAATATTTAAAAATGCCTAGACGTGTGTTAGATGTAGATAGTCTAATTTGTAGTGTACATAAGTATTTTACGGATGAAAAAGAAAAAGGCGGTCCTTTAAAATCGGTAATGTCTGTTTAACAATGCGTATGTGATGCTCTAGGAATTAGTGAAACCAAACTAAGAGGAATATTACAAAATCACAATAATGAACGGCCGAAAGAAGATCACCGAAAAACTCGCCTATCATTGAAAACGAAAGATATTCCAGATGGAAAAAAATTTGAAATTCGTGATACCATTTATCGAATGCGAGCCAACAAGGAACATGTGACCTTAAATACAATTCTCTCGGAATTAAAAGATAGAAAATTTGACGAAATTGGCAGAACAAGTATATGGCAAATGATACATAATTTGGGTTTCAAATTTCAAAAGGAGGATAACAGAAAAGCCCTTTGTGAAAGAAGTTCTGTTGTGCATAAAAGAATTAACTTTCTAAGAATATGTTTAAAATTAAAAGAAGAAAGGGCAAATTGTATATATTTAGATGAAACATGGATATTTTCTAGGGGTGCAACCAAGAAAATATGGCAAGATGATAACGTAAAGTCTATCAAACATACTGATGGAGAAGGGAAGCGACACATAATTTTACATGCAGGAGGGAAATCGGGTTTTATAGAAGGTGCTGATTTAATATTTTCATCTAAATCAAAATCAAGTGACTATCACGATAATATGAACACAGAAATGTTTGTAAATGGTTACACCTTACCATTCTGAAGTATTAAACAAAAGTCCAACGAATTCTTGGACTGTTAATAAAATTAGAGAATGGTTGACAAAGGAACATATACCATTTACACAACATATTTTAAAATTAGAATTATTACGCTTGGCAAATATCCACGTAAAACCAAAAACCTTTGTTGTGGATCAGATTATTGAAAGTTACGGTCATCAAGTTTTACGTCTGCTACCGTATCATTGCCAGTTTAATCCCATCGAATATATATAGGGAATAGCAAAACAATATTATGACAACCATATTGGGCCTAACGGTTATAGCGACGACGCAGTTCAGGAAACTTGGCGAAAGGCACAATAGAAGATTGGTGGACTCGTGAAAATAAAATAAACGAAATAAGTCCAGTCATAATAACAATTAATGGTTATGACAGTGATGATGATGACGATTATGATATTTTTGATGATAATGACTGATTTTCATTTTTGTTGGCAAGTTAAATTTTTTTATTTTTTATTAGAAATTCTCTCCATGGAACAAATATACATAGACCATATTTTCTGTGTGAAGTGTAATATAAAATTATTATTAGGTTTATATTAGCCACATTAGACTCCATTAATGAAGTAATTCTTCTTATTATACTGTCAATTATATAAAAGATTTTCCATTATTATTTAATTAAAAAAAGTTATGGATTATTTTTCATTTTATTTGACCAGTTGATATTTCCCCAAAGAGCAGGTAATTAAAACTGGGTACTTACAATAAAATTTTTAATCCGAAACCCACGTAAATATAGCGAACCGACTATACGTATAAATCGAACAGCATTGGAGACAGTATACAACCTTGCCTTACTCCTTTTTTAATGGAAAAATCTTCTGTTTCGTTGAAATTTTGAAAACGTACTGTTGCTGTCTGGTTTCAATACAGATTGGCGATAATTCTTATATCCTTGGCATCCAATCCCAACTCTTGTAGGTATTTTATCATCAATTCGTGTTTAACATTATCGAATGCTTTCACATAATCGATGAAACAGACAAAAACATCATTTCTTTTATCTAAACAATTCTGTATTAATGTTTGAATGCTAAAGATCGTTTCTCTCGTGCCAAGTCCATTTTTGAAACCAAACTGACTCCATCCACTGACCTCTTCACATTTTTTAAACAATCTAGCGTGAAGTATTTTCAGAAAAAGTTTTAAAAAGTGACTCATTTCATTAGGCTTATTAGTCGGTGGTCCTTGCAGAAGTTCGCACGTGGTGTTTTTGATAGGGCGATAAATGTAGAGCAAAGCCAATCTTTTGGAATCTGGCCCGTATCGTAGATGTCGTTAAAGAGCTTGACAATAATGTCTAGGTTTTCTTCATTAAGTAACTTGATTATTTCTGCGTACATATCATCTGGTCCTGGAGTTTTGTTTCTTTTTAATAGTTTGATAGCGTGTACAATTTCAGCTTTCGAAATACTTGGGCCATACAAATGGTCTCCCAGTTGTGGCTGTTTTTGTGTTCTGTCATCATTGAACAAATTGGCTGTGTACATTTTTCAAGTATTAAGTATATCGCTAGGATCCGTTATTAGTTCATTTTGGTCATTATGTATACGTGATTTGTTTTTTCTTGAAGACACCAGCAATTTCCTTAATTTTCTTGTGAAGATTGAAGCTGTCGCCGAGTTTATATAGGATTTTAGCCTCGGTGCGAAGGAAGAAGAAGGAAGAATTTGACTGTGTATATTTCGGTACCCTACTTGGTCCTACCTAATTTTACACTGCCTGCGTTGTTCTATCATCTCTAATATTTCTTCTATCATCCACTCATTCTTGGTAGTTGTTTTACTCTCGAGTAGAAAAGTCATCAAATGATTTTTTTATGGTGGTCCATGACTTTTCAACATCATCCTCACTTGCCATATTAGAGAACCTATTATTTATTCCCTCTGTGTACGCTTCACTTGTTTCATTATTTTTGAGTTTTCTAATGTTTACTGATGCCTTCTGGTGTTTTCTTTTAGTTGTAGCGAGCCTTAGTTTAATATTTCCTACTAAGAGATTGTGGTCGGATCCTATGTCTGCTCCAGGTAATGCAGATACCTTAGTAATAGCATTCCTGTCACGACCTTCTATTAATTGACACATAATCTATTTGGTTCCTGATAATGCCCTGATGTCCGTCTAAAGGCGACTTCCATGTGTAAAGCCTCCTGGGTGGCAACTTATACCAAGTATTCGTTATGACTAGATTTTTGTCTTGGCAGTATTGTATCAATCTGTCCCCTCTGTCGTTACTCTGACCAAGACCATAATTTTCAACTACGTGATCTACGGCTCCTTCCCCAATTTTTGCGTTAAAGTCTCCTAATACGTTGTTAATTTCGTGATTCTTAGTCATCTTTAAGGCTTCGTCTAGCTGTTGATAAAATCGCTCTAGTTCTTTTTCTGGCTTTTCTGCTGTAGGGGCGTAGACTTATACAATATTTATGTTAACTTTTACATGCAGCTGAATAAGTATGACTCTTTCGGAGATCGGAGTTCTTCACGGAGACGCGCAAATTTTCGCTTATCAAAACTCCCACCCTATGTCTGTGGTGAGGGTATGTGCTATCACTGCATGAGTAGTAAATGGTTTTACCATTAGTATTGATCGTACCTGTGCCTTTCCATCGCAATTCGCTTATGTCGAGAATATTGCTGTTAATTCTGTTTATTTCCTGAATTAGATTTTGTAGTTTGCCTGCTGCAAATAAGCTTCTGACATTCCACGTAGCAATAAGATAAGAAGTTATTTTTTTTATGGATACTTAATTTTTGATGCATATGTGGATTTTTATTTAGTTTTGCAATTGTCAATAATGTAGAGACATCATTCAAATCGCGAAAAGCAGTGTTGTGCTATCTGGTTGCTTCAAGCTGGTAAAAGTCGAAGAGACGTTGCTGAGGTCCTTAACATGACAGAAGTGTCATTAATCGTTTATGGTTAAGGTATACTGGTGATCATACTGAACGTTACACAGTTCGTAAAAGAGTAATCAAATAGGTTGAACACCTTTTTATTAGGTTGCAGGCTTTGCGTGATTGCACTACAACTGCATCACGATTACAAAAGAAGCTGCAATAGATCTAAAAGGTGTTTGAGAGTGATCGAACGATTA